GTGTACAGAGCATGACCCCCACGTCCTGCACCACTCAGAGCTGGGGAGCAGAGGGGTCTGGAGTGAAAAGTGAAGTTGAGCCTGGGAAAGGGGGGTGGAAATTTGTTGGTTTCATGTTTATCTTTTTGATTACCTCTGCCCAAATCAATAAGTATTTATTTTAACTGGCCAAAATTAAGTTAGCTTCATCAAGTAAGTCTATTTTTCCAACAATAGGAGCTGATAAGCAATCTCCCTGTCTTCGTCTCAACCCATGAGCTTTCTTGTTCTTGTTACTTGTATTTTCTAACCCCCTGCCCACCTGAGAGCAGAGGGTGAGCAGGAGCCTGGGTGGGAGTTTAACAGCTGGCAAAGGCTAATCCACAGGACTAAGCCCAATGTGTTTCTAGGGTGAAACAGGTGCTTCTGAGGTCTCAGTGTCTGCATTATCCATACTTCAGGTGGTGCATCAGGCACGTGTCCAAAGCACATAATTCAGGTTAGTTGCATATGAAAGAATTCCAGTTGGGATGGTTGGGAGCTTCTCCATGATGAGCACCAAAGGTTGGTAGGTGATCATGACACAACCAAGTGAACAAAGCATATTGATTTCCTTTTAAAACTTAGTACTACCATATCTATTTAAATTAAAATATAATCATATTTTCACTGTACAAAATATATAGAAGTATTTTAAGCAAGAAGTATACTCCTGATGTGGTTACTTCCTTTCAAAATACTGTCATACCTGAGCTGTGGCTGGGGAAGTAATCCTTTAAAGGGCTGAATCAGGAAAATCAGAATGGTGGATGTATATAAATGAATTGTGTATATATAAAAGTGACATGTGTCTTCCATCTTGCTAAGAAACTTGGTGCTGTCCTTCCCCCAGAAAGATGTGGCTGCTGCAGTCTGTGCATGTCACTTTTAAGGTACTAAAATGGTGCTATAATGTAGGCTGCTAGAGAGCATCTGATTCTTCCATGCTGTGGGATACCATGAATATACTTTGAAAATATGTTCGCTGTGTTTGAGATGTTTTAAAACCTTGGGTATCAGACTTCGAAAGGAAATTGGGTGTTTGCCAGAATCGTCAGAGATGCGTAGGATATTAGATTGTTAACTCCCATGAGAATTTTAAGTGATGCTCATGTTTTATATTTTCTATCAAAGACTGATGTATGTTTCTTTGTGATTATTTAGAGAAGTTATCTTTTTAGTGTTTCCAACAATTCACTTTTGCTGTCACTATCCACTCCTGAGGCTGCATTTTCTCTGTGTGGTGATTATTGCTGGGAATTCCCCTTGCCATCTTTGAACTTTCCTTTGTTACAGAAGTCTGAACTTTCATGTCATTTTAACAACTTTAGCACCCTCTAAATAATTAGCCAGGGCTAAAATGGAAGCTTTAACTTCTCTCCTGTTGCTAAAAAAATCTCATAGTTTTGTAAACAGACTGAAATTCTGGAACATTTATTGGTAACACTAGTGTAAAATGACAGCTTTTAAATGCTTTTCAAATTAGGATGTAACATATCAACCTGTGTGCTAAACAAGTTAAATGAAACACCAAGTTTTTCTCCCTATTTCTGGTTGTGTTACGATACCTTTCATGCAGCTGCCAGATAAACTTTTAAAGCTTGTGCTTTTAAGCCTTGCTATTCTATTTATTATCACCGTTGTCATTAATGTTTAATTTTGAAAGAAGTGCTGACTGAGAAGTCTTAAAGAACAGACCAGAAAGTAATTTCTTCAGTTCTATTAAGAAGAGAAAAAATGAATAGATGAAGTCTTCAAAAAGGATTCAGACATAAAGTTAAATAGTCCAGCAAGTAAAAGATGACAGTTTGGTTTAAATTCCAAGACCTTGTCTTGCCTTAGGGTATGTTCTTTTAGCTCAATTTTGTTTCCTAGTGAAGGAGACTGTTGTAAATATGAGACACATCACCATTACTAAATAAAATGTCACCTCTTGCTGCTTAAAGCTGACTTGCTGCATTGGCAGATTCTAGAGTTGTTCTGAATCTTTTGTAGCTGTTTGGAATGTGAAAGGCCTGTTTTGATATAGGATCTGTGTCCGGGACCTTTATTACTACACAACATTGCTAAAATGCTCAGCAAAGGTTTAGAAAACTTAACAACAAATAGTTCATTCAGTGTTATATTCAGAATGATAAGTTACAAATAATATGGGGGTCAGAAGATAATAATGGGATTTTTCTTAGGAAATTTTCGGTCACCTGCTTGCAGTTAAACATCTGCTTGGTTTTATGTTGCATTGACAACTGAAACAGTATCTGTAGGTACTTGGGATTTTATTTACCTCTGAGGAACCTGTGAAGGTGAAATTTAATTCATTCTGGTAAAAGCATTTGATAAAGAATTGAATAGATGCTGATGTCATTTTTTTTCAGTGAAAACAATGAAATATATGTGCCATTTCTGCCTTTTCTCCTGCCTCCCTTTTCCTTTTTACTGGTCTTAAACATGACACATTTTGACGTTTGGGTCACAATCCAAATATACTTCAGAATTCATCATCTCTTTTCTGCCCTGTGGCTTTGTTAAATCAATGTGGTATGTACTTTTCTGTCTCATTATACCTAGTTTTCTTGTTCCTTAATAGGTCTACTGTTGAACAAGGCCCTGGTGTTTTTAAAATGGGAGTTTGTTCTGCACTTAGCCCTAAGACCCCTTAGTCATACAAAACCTTGTTTTGTAATTTCTGTTCTTTTTTTTTTTCCTGTTTGGAGATTTTATTTTCCATTTTGTTTGTCCTTCCTCTTGTGCTGGTGCTCAGTCTGTGAGCAGTTGTTGTACTCATCCAATATTACACAGAGGAATGAGGGAAATGGCAGCATATGCTTTCTTCCTCTCAGTTCTAACTGTCTTCAAATAAAGCCCACAAAGTATTAAATAAAGGAAGCAACCAAAATAAACTATTTTGAAAACAATTTTTACCTGTAGAGAAAACAGGACTTTTCTGTAATTTCCTGTTGGATTTTCTCTTTGCCTTCCACTTAAAATAGATATTGGAGATCATAGTGAAGGGTGGTAGCATTAAAGTCATTATACAGTAAGAGGCAAAATAAAAGCACTGTATTTTGTGAAGATCATGGTCATTCACAGAATCACATAGTTTTCTGTTCTTCCATGCCATGCCTCGGTGTGCTTATCCGTGATCCTATTTAGGAAAGACTGGATGTGCATTTCAGGGAACCTCTCTGCCTAGAAAAGAAGGGGTAACTATTTAATGACTAATCAAACCCTAAGTGTGATGGAAGGGAATGTTACAATATGGTTTTAGGAGTTGCTCTGCATGAAGGTGGTGTAAGAACTGATACGTGAGTATTTTTAGGAGTGAAAGACATATTGCTGTTTTCTTACAGGACAGAATTTCATCTGTCTATAAAGGACAAATTTTACATTAATTTCTTCTGCGTCAGTGAAAGATGCTTCTTTTTGCTGCTCTGCTTGCCCTTCCTATTACATAATGGTTTCTAAGGGGTTGCTCTGTCATTTTGCTTTTAGATTGTATTTGCTAGATTGTAAGGGGGGATTCATGTAATGCAGGTGTAATATGAAAGTTCTAGTAAGGAAATTTGCACTTCACGAATCCAGACGTTTTTCTTGGATTGAAATTCAGTCATTTCCAAACTCTGAGCATTTCTTTTGGATTTATGGATGACTGGAAGGTCCAAAGTCTAGCATAAATCTGAATTACCTGTTAAATGCTTCATATGAAAGAATGTTCATCTTGCTGCTTGTATCTTTCAATGTCATTGATTCATGTTAGACATGTAAGAGGGCATGTAAAAATAGTGCATTTTAAATGTCATTTTAGTGTAACACAACAATATGGAGAACAGTTTCAAACCAAGACACCATATTTTTATTTTTCCATTAATACATAGGTAAGTTGTTCTTGAAAAATGAACAGTTGTATAGAAAGAGAATAGAAAAGGAAAATGTCTCTTTCAGAATTCAGACTGATATTTTCCCCACTTCTCAGGTTATCATCAAGACTATTCATTCAGGATTTTGCTATTCTTTCTAGAATCCTAGTGGATAAGTTAAAAGAAAAAAAAAGTTCAGGGATGATTAAATGACAAAAATATCAAATAGTTTCAACACAGAAGAAAGAAAATTCAGTGTGGTTTGGATTTTTGCATTTCTATACCTGCAGAAGGATTTATTTGTGATCATAAAAAGTAAGAGTGTTGTTTAGTTGAAAACAAAATCTCTCAAGCTTTGAGAGATTTCAGGGTGGTTTCTGCTCTTCTTTTAGTCATGACTTTTTCTGCTTTTCTCTCTCTTCTCTAGAGATACAAGCTAATATATGCTGGTTAAAATTTGTGCCGGTGTCATTTCATATATTGTGATTTAAAAATAAATAACCACCATTAAAGAAGTAAACTACAGGAAATTTAAGCATAAGAAAAAAAAGTCTTTGCTCATGAGGGTGGTCAGGTGTCAGTGTAGGCTTCCTAGACTGGTTGTAGAGTTTCCATACTTGGATATGTTCAAAGCCCAACTGGGTGTGGTCCTGGGCAACCTGCTCTAGTTGACCTTGCTTTGAGCAGGCGGCTCAGACTGGAGACCTCCAGGTTTTAATAGTTCTGTAGTGTGGTGAAAGAGCCTGTCTTCTGTATTTGGGGATAACTTTGTAGTGATACTGCATATTTAGGATGAAAATGTTGGTGTAGTCTGCATATGTGCATTAAAAGAACTTACTACTGTGCAGTTTTTCAGATTATGACCAAATAGATCTTTTATTAATAAGTCACTTCATGAATTTGTTTTGTGTGTTTATATTTTGAGATCTATTTGAGATTTTTAACTTAATTTCATACTAAAGTTCTAAAGTGGCATAATTAAATACCATCTCATCAGTGTCTTTTATAAAGATTAATGAATTTATTAGAAATTTCAGATGTGTACATCTTTCCAAACATTGTGTTCTGTTTTCATTTTTTTTTTATTGAATAATAGCTAATTTACTACCTTCTTATCTTCCACAGATCTAAAGAGAGAAGCCAGTATTTGTCACATGCTGAAGCATCCTCATATTGTTGAACTGTTGGAGACATACAGCTCAGATGGAATGCTTTATATGGTCTTTGAGTTGTAAGTTTCTCTCTTTGATTTTACCTTTCTTTGTTGTCATTTACTAAATAAAATCCTACAAGCGTGTCTGCTCACACCTGCGTGTTTTGTAGCTCAGAGGTCTGGAGTGCCATGAAAATGTTTATTTCTGGCAAGAACAGGTTGTCTCAAATTAAAAAAGTTGTCCCACTGGCAAAGTGGTGAACATCAGGGCTTTCTAAAGACAGGAAGCTGTTTATTGATGGCTGCTGTGTCCCTAACAAGGTTCATGAGAACAAGTTGAAAATCTGGTGATAGGCATCATCCTTGGGTAGCTGATGATATTCTGTTCCAGTTGTGAAGTTTTTATTTTTTTCCAGATTGTTGCTACTTTAGCACTGCTTTTGCATTATTAGATAAAAAAAGTAAAGCGTATTGGAGTATTTAGATATTCTTATAAGTCAATATAACTGTTCACAATAAATTAAAAGAGGCCTTTGTCTAAAAGATATGTTTTGGAAGTTTCAATGTGAGAGTTTAGTCAGAAGGGTGACCAAAACACGACTTCAGCAGTGGACAGGTATTTTTAATCAACAACAAGAAATAAAAAAGGGGAGCAAGCCCCTAAATCACCAGTTTTTTCTTTGAGGGAAAATTATTAGTCCTTCCAGAGTTAAGTTTTATCTAAATGGGAAGGACAAAAGCAGACATGCACAATGGTAATTTGTGCGTGCTCTGTGTTAGATCTTCCTTCTCTCTCTGCTCTCTACCTACCAGCTCTTCTTTTTATGCTCCACATATATTCATTCCCAGTGTGTCTGGGCATACATGTCTGTACCTCTTGAATTTCTCTAATCTTCCTCCATTAAGTTTTCTGATGCATTTTACCTGCTTATGGTGGAGCAACCACATCATGCCAGTGTGTTAGGTCAGATTGACTTGTCCACTAGAGCCAAGAATTTGATTTGAGATATGCACTTTAAAAACAATTCTCACGTGTTTTAACATTGAGGAAATGGAAAGGCAAGAGGTAATGGCAAAAAACCTGGGTAAAGATGAAAGTTGTTGTTTGAAAATCTTCTGCTTTTTTTTTTTTAGGTGATTTTATAAACTTATGATTTTGTAAAATAATTATGCTATGCTTTCCTCTCTGTACATTTTGATTCAATACTGACTTTGCATTTTTATTTTGTAAATCCCAAAGCACGGACCAAGGGACTTTAATTACCCTATTATGAAATAATTATGTACACCTTGGGGAGACATACTCTGATAATTAACAAGATTTTGAAATGGAAAAAAGGTTTTGCTTCTATTTTTACTACGCTGATAGCTCAGAAATATGAGACAAAAGCAGTAATTATTTTTTTAATGGCAGGCCTATTATAATTTATGTTTGTATACATAAAAAATAAGTCTGAACAATTAGAATTACTACACAAATGCTGTACCTGACTTCAGGCCACATGAAAGAAGGAATTACGAGGCTAAATTATTTGAAGGATAATAATTGTTTACCATATGTGTGCCCTTGTTTTCTTTGTACACTGCAAAACATCACTCTCTTGTAACAAAGACTGATGGAAAATGAGACAGTAGGAACACCTGTGCTCCAAATGTGGCAGGGAATGGAAAAGTTGTGGGCACAATGTGTTATGCTGGAGGGGATGCTTTGGTAAAGTGATTCAGCAGAAGACTGATGTTTGCTGTGGAGTAAGAACAGCATGGTCTGAGTCTGCGTGGGTTAGTGACATACTGTATAATTGTGACCATATTAAGAAACCTGTAGTTAGCAGAAAAGCATCTGTGTACATTTAGGTAACTTATTTTCCCTCATACTGCCTCCTGTTCGTTATGCTGTTATTGTAACAAAACTCAACTGATTTGCAACGAAGTTCTGTCCTCACTAATAAAGTGAATTCATTAGGGTTTAGTTATTCAGAAGTTACTGAGAAGGGGAAGACACCACGGATCTGCAAAGGAGATATAAACCTAGCTGGTGATGAGCTGTTCATGGGCTGGCAGGTGCTCTTCAGGCCCAACACATGAAATGCACAGAATAACTGAACCTAAAACTTCGTGCCATGACTTGTAAATGAGACACAGGTCCACTGCTGTTTCATAGTCTGTGAGCTAAGTGGAGCAGCTGCTGGGATGACCCTAAATATCTTGCCAAATCTATTGATACAAAAAAGTACAAGTTGAATAGGCAAATGTAGCATACACCTGATAACAACAGATTGTAACGCTCAGGAAAATATGCAATTTGTGCCCAGTTTTGAAAACGTTGGTTAAAATAAACATTTAAAAAAGCAAATCGCAATTCATAGAAGCACTGATGAACGTGAACAGTAGCAATGAGGTTTAACACCAAAAATTGAGCTATGTCTTTAACCACTATTTATTCACAAATTCAAGCAGTCTTTAGAATGGGGCCATATGTGTGTTACCAGCAGGTTGCAGTCACCCATGTGGTGCTGCTGTATTAAACTGCAGAGAAGCAGTGGGTTGTAATAGATGAAGTGCATATGTAGAGTAAGAAGCAGACTCCATCCCAGAAAATCTTATTGCTGAAGTAAAATTGTTATTTTAAAAGTACTTAGATGTTATTACATCATAAATGAGAAAGGATGTGCCTGTGCCAAATGATTTCCCTCACACATACCCCAGCTGCCCCTTAGAAGGGTAATGGACTCTTTACACTGATGGAAAAGATCCCTTGGAGGCTCTAGAGAGGCCTTACATCTGAGAATGGCCAGCTCTACTCCCTCTCATACAGTTGCCGTTTCCTTTCCCATTCCTGGTGTTATTTGTTGACAGCTCTGTATAGAATCATAGACTCATTTAGGTTGGAAAAGACTTCTGAGATCATCAAGTCCAACCATTAATTCAGTACTACCACCACTAAGCCATGTCCCTAAACTCCACATCTACACATCTTTTAAATAACCCCAGAGATGGTGACTCCATCAATTCCTGGGCATCCTGTTCCAGTGCTTGACAACCCTTTCCATGAAGAAATTTTCCCTAATATCCAATCTAAATCTCCCCTGGCACAACTTGAAGCCATTTCCTCTTCTCTTATCACTTTTTACCTGAGAGCAGAGACTGAGCCTCACCTGGCTACAATTCCCTTTCAAGTATTTGTAGAGACTGACAAGATCCCTGCTGAGCCTCCTGGTTTTACATAGAATGCTGTTTTCTGTTTGCTGTACAAGTATCACTTTTATATTCTGTTGCTTATTACATTTTTTTCTAATGATCATTGATTTTTATCAAGGAGATACTTTGATTAGGTTCTGCTACTTGCAATGTTTCTAAAACAAGGCAAATATTCCTTTTTGAAGTGTCTGAAAACCACATTTTAGAGTGCATTACATGCAGTTTATCCTCACTATAATCAAAGTGTGTGGACTGAGAGTACTTTTGTTCTGAAGAGCTCAGAGAGGAGCAGTGAGTGGATTGCAGATACCTTCATATCTGGTCATTTGCAGAATATTGTCTCACCACTATACATAGGTGGGTTGTGGTTTTTTTAGTGCATTCTAAGAGAGTTTTGTCTTTTGGGGCATTAGAAGAACTGATCCATTTAGATTTAGCAGTTAGGATGTATATATATATATATATAGTTGTATACATATTACTTTGCCATTTAATCTAGGTAACATGTAAAAATGCTTTAGTTTTAAATTCTCAAAATCCATAAAAGCAGTACTTTATCAGGCTTGCAGTTACTTAGGTGTGCATTAAGCATAAGTTGATGGGCTTGTGAGGGTGCTGGTGGGTGACAGGCTGGACATGACCCAGCAATGTGCACTCACAGCCCTGGAAGCCAAACATGCTGCATCCAAAGCACTGTGGGGGCAGCAGGGCCAGGGAGGGGATTCTGCCCTTCTGCTCAGGTCACACCCCACCTGCAGTGCTGCATCCAGCTCTGGGGTCCTCAGCACAGGAGGGACATCAACCTGTTGGAGCAAGGCCAGAGGAGGCCACCAAGATGGTCAGAGGGATGGAGCAGCTCTCCTGTGAGGAAAGGCTGTCTCAGTCTAAAGGAGCCTCTGAACGGATGCTGAGAAGGCAAACTTGGGAACATCACTTAATTGTTCATAATGAACTAAAACCTGGGTGCAAATAAGACTATTTGGACTTTTTTTGGTCTTAGTTTGGAGAGGTTACTACACAGAGCTTCAAGAAAAGCTAAATGCTGTAGTTTTTAAATTAATTTATGGAAGTTTATTTGAGGTAAGTGATGATGGCAAGTATATAAAAACTGTCCAGCTGAAGGAAAAAATGCCATTGTTCACAAGCCTTGAACATACATGGTACAAAATTTGGTAAACTCAGCTACGAGTAATATGTCAACTCTTAATTTTTTGTTTTTTTAAGTAATACTTTGGCTCCCTAAATAAAGCAGCTCTTCTAAACTTTCTGATTCTTCATCAATAAATTAAGCTATAGCCCACATCCTATTAGGTCATCTGCAAATTCAAAGCTGTCATACCCCAGTATGAAAACATAAATCTCTTCTGGAATATAATGTCTGTTCTTCAGTCACTATTATTGTCACAGCAGATTTCTGCACTGAACATGATTCAGGAGTAAATTTTCTGGGCAGTGTGTAACTTATCCTCAGCATTGTGCAGAAGAGTAGAAAGATTTTCAAGATGAACAGCAGCACTGAGAGAGCTGTGGAAAGAGACATTTATCCAAAGGGCAGAGATCCAGGCACAGTTCTGCTAAAAATATGGAGGAATCAATAGTAGAATATGGGTTAATTGGGGGACATAGTTCATACTAATACCCAAACGTTTGTGTGAGGTGGTATGTTTGGGGGGTTTATATATATATATATATATGTATGTATGTATGTTTATTTTTCTTTTTATATATATATATATATATATATCAGTTCATATACCTACCGTGAGTGCCCTCTACTGGTGTCAGGAGTTTCTCTCAGGTTATCAATGTAGTGATTTTTCCCAACTTTTTTTGCATCATCCACATAAGTCTTCAGCATGGATATAGCTTTTTTTTGTTTATTTCAGTGGATTTTAACTTATCTTTTTTTTTTTTTGATGGTTTTCACGTGCTTATGCTGATACTTACAAACCCTTGAGACTTCCTGAACTTTCATTACATCAGTCTCCCAAAACTTAAATGCTCTTGTATCACACAAACCTTTCAGTTTCTGCAGAGTCATCTTGTAAGTGGTTGAGGTGTTGCTGAGTTTTTAGTCTGTTAGTGCACTGATTTTTCTGGGGTTTCTTATGACTGAGGTTGACTCTTGCTTTCTGCAGCCTCAGCTAGACAAAAGGTTTTTGATTTTTCAGGTAAAATTCAATATCATGTATTGAATGTATTGTATCACATGGGGTGATGCAAACCCTCTTTATACATTAAAAAAAATGTACTCTTAAAAAAAGGTTTTATTTGAAAGAGTGGTCAGTTGAAGTCAGAGATTAAAATACACCTGCTGCATATTTGTGCTTTGGAGGCCAACAGAAGTCATCTTAGTGGAATAAAAATTTCAAACATATTTGCAAAAAAAAATTAAAACTGCCATACACTGCTAGAAAATTCAAATGAAAAATGCTGGTATGTGTAAGTGGGAAGTAGAAATACATGTTAAAAACTGTTCTGATTATGAATACCTTGTTTAAAGGGATGACACTTACTTCAGTGTCTCAGCAATTGTTGATGCTGCTAAAAACCTTAAGTGCCTCTGGACCTTTATTTATACATAGTTTATAATAAGTCGGAGTGCAATTAGTTTTCTAAAGGGTTCTGCTGTTTCATGAGAATGACATCTCACTTTTGGTAGTTGATCAGGCATCTTGTATGTTCTACAGTGCGAGCAAACGTTGGAAGAGTGATTGACATGAGAGATTTTTCCAGTGAAATCCAGGTTTATGCTGCTCTCCCTGAGCCTGACCCCACGGCTGCTGTGCAGGGCCATGTGCAGTGCAGCACAGCGTATTCTCTGGGGGATGTTCAGCCCTGTACACAGACAAACTGTAGGAAATTGAGCAAGACAGAAGAACCACTGGGGAAAAAAAACCTACAGAGGAATATATTGATGCAGTGAAGAGCATTCATGGTTTGGCAATGTGGGTTTCTTTGCACTTCTCGATGTGCATTTCTTTTGGTCACCGGTCTCTCTTACAGTTGTCAGTGCTCTATCCACATGATAGTGTATTTTGTATGGGGATACCTTTTGGATTTATTTGGGAATTAAAGCTTCTACACATGACTTGTGACTCCCTAAGAAGTTTATTATTGCAGGTATGTAACACAGCAAAAGTGATTGATGCTGACATTCTGGTTAACTTAATGAAGCAGCCTGGTAATGTTGGCTTTCTAGACACCTTACAAATTCTCCTTTTTTTTTTTCTTCCCCTTGAGTCTTTATGGAGAGGAAAAAGAAGAGGTGTGAAGGCTGAAAATGACATGTTACAATCAATATTTTTGGAAGTGCCTTGTTAAATGTGAATTATGTTATTTTTATTGTTCCTGTTAACTCTTGTTACTCTCTCTCTCCTTGCCCCATCAAGCTGTGAATATTTCTAGATATCAATCTGCCTTAGGTCACTTACAGGAGAGGGAAAAGGAGGACAGTTCTGCCACTCCACACTGCTTTAGTTTTTGAGAAGTGGCAGTCTAATTTCAGCCTAAGATCTATGAATATATACCTGCATCTAAAGTGTAATACTACCTATTGTGGGAAATTAGATCAGAAAGACTACAGACAATTAGGGAGAACAGGGAAAAGGTATCAAGAGCTAGTGATACAGTATGTGGGCTGTCACTGTTCTCAGGTGACTTCAGTGAGGCTGTGAGGTGTAAAATCTCATCTTGGCTGCTTAATTATCCTTACAAGAAAATGCCAACTGGAAAGGCTGCACTACATTTCTAGAGTATTTCTTAAAGCCTTCATTTAAAATTCAATTTGAGTAAGATTTTTTTGTTACTACAGTCATTATTATAGAATTACACTGGTAGTTCTTATACAAACACACTTAACCAAATATCAGACGTTGACTGTTAACTTGCAGAACCTTCTTGTGCAGAGCATTGACTCCCTGCTGTCTTGCACACCTTGCTCAATGAGCAGTTTAGCAATAAAAGAGATGGTTTGGTATTGCCGGTGTTTTGACAGAATTGTTATATGACGTCAGGGACATAAAATGGTTAACCTGTGCCAAGCCATTTTCTATTAGATTACCTATTAAATGCTCTTTTAGGGTGCAATGCACTGTACATGTATCCAGAGTATTTTATGTAAGATTTATGTAAATGGAGCAAATAGATCTTTTGGAGCATTTTTATGTAATTGATTATAGTTATCTATCTTAAGCATATTTCCCTCTTTTTACCTGCAGTATGGATGGAGCAGACCTGTGTTTTGAAATTGTGAAGAGAGCAGATGCTGGATTTGTCTACAGCGAGGCTGTAGCCAGGTATGTATTATAATTTTAATTAATCCCGCAGGATAAATAGAAAAGAACGGAATATACTGTTGTACAATCTGTTAGCTAAAAGTCAGACTACTGTAAGTAATCCTGTTTCCACACTCTAGATGTTTATGACAATAATTAGCATTTTGTCATTTACCAGTTATATATTTGAATGAGATTATTGAGTAAAACAGTATTTCACATCCAATACTTGATTGTCTGTCTTTGCCTTTTTTGGACCTCTCGTGATGCCATTAGGTGCCTTGCCTGACAGGTGTGAATTTTACTGGTCTTGCTAGATGGAGTTGTCTTTTCTTTTTCTGGCTTATGTATCACTTTATTTATGGTCACTTCAACTTTTGAAACAGTATGAGAGAGTCTATAAAACTGCAGAAGGATAATAAAAACCAGTGTCCTAGTTGCACAGCTGTTGACCTCAAAGCCCATGAGGTTATTTTTTTTACTTTTCTCCACACTGCAGATTTTTTAGCGCTGTAGAAACCAGATTGGAAGAGACATCAAGAGGTCTTTATGTCAACCTCCATCTCAAGGCAGGGTCAGCTTGGCATTTGAATCATGTTGCTCAAGACTTTGTCCAGTGGGTCCTAGAATACTTTCAAGGATGGAGACACCACAGCCTCTCTGAGCAACTTGATTGCAGTGCATAGTTATGTTCCTAGAGAAAAACCTTCCCTTTAACCAGCTGGAGCCTCCAGAGGACAAGGGTTGCCTCCCTGAGCCCGCAGTAATGCTCTGTCTGATGCAGCATAGGATGCTCTTGGCTTTCTTGACTCTACTGTGGTCAGTGATCTCCTAGGATGTCCTTTGGACACAGGGGAGAAAGTCAGTCTCCAATCTGCACCAAGAAAGCCAAGGTCTTGGTCCACTCATTTCCTTTCTGTGTTTTGTTATTAAAAAAATGGACTGTCCTGACTTCCTTGTTATTTGAAGCAGAATTATTGATCATTTGAAACCTTACAAAAATACAGATTTTTCTTTTCTAATTTTCCTTGGCTTCAATCAGAATAATTCTCAAACTTTAGCTTGTATTATTCACTATTATAAACACAAATTCATTCTACAGAACCCTGTATATTTGAGGTTAAGTTGGTTTGATTAGTTTTATATAATTAGACTCTTAAAACTTAGTTTGTTACATGTTTATGGTAGTTTTTCCTGCAGGTTTGTCATGCATAACGTGTTTGTTTTTTTCAGTCATTACATGAGGCAGATATTGGAAGCTCTACGTTACTGTCATGATAATAATATAATTCACAGGGATGTGAAGGTAAGGGGGTTTAATTACTCTTTTTTTCTTCACCACAGTAGTGTCAACTACTGAATTTCAATTTCTGTAATTTAGAGAAAGACAGGAATCTCTATTTGCTGAGTGAATCTTTACTCTTATTGTCTCATGTAAGATTAAAGATCTCTAATTTCATCAATATAGAACATTTAGGAGATCTGTACTCACAAATTACACATGCATTTGATTACAACTTGCTTTGAAAGTCAGTTTAATTTCTAGTTTTTGAATATTCAAATGAAATCTGCTTGCATTTTTGTCTTGTTAGGAAAATGTGTATATAAATTAATTGCATAAATTAAACTGGAATTGGTAGTTCAAGGGCATCAATTTGACAGTATAATGACAGTCCTCATCCACACTTAGATTTCAGAGAGATGCACATGCTTAAATGCTACAATATTGGTAGTATTATCTACTTTTTGCAGCCAGTCTTAAACATTTATTATCATGAAAACTTCTCTAATATAAACAAGTTTGTGAGGAGAAATGCAGTGTTTTACAACAGCATATGTACACTCTCTTTTTGATCTGGTGAATTTTGGACTATTTCTGTCAATATTTATGGAAGTAGTTTATCCCAAAATATTTTAATGTAAGTAATTGGGAGTTTTAACTGAAGTGTGTTTGACAGTCTTCAATTTGAATATACAATTTCTTTGTTAATGTTATTACTTATAGTTAATATATGGTTAATAGTTATTCCCACTTTTCTGAGAGCTTGGTTTTATTCAAAGTGAGCCAAACACTGTAGGAAATAATGAAAATTCTAACAAGCTCTGATGGTGCAGTTTGAGAAGTGAATCTTGGGCTTTAGCGGGTAAGAGAAGATTCAAACTCCTCCAGGTGGTCTGTGAGGGAAGAGAGTACAGACACTGGGCTGATGATTTTCATTTAAGGAGTCATTTGTTCTTGTGTACCCAGACATCGCAGACTTTCCCAGCCTCTTACTCCTTTGCTTCTAGAATCAAGAAAATTATTGCATAATTGGCTTTTTAGTCTTTTAAAGTTTGGTATTTTAAAAGTAATTTCTTATGTCAAATTCAAAGGATGGCCTCGTAATTCATGGTAGAATGTCTCATCATGTTCTGTCTTGAAGGTTTTGAATTCTTTTAATTGTTCATTTTTGACAGCACATAAGAATTTCTGAATGAACATCTTTTTGTTGCTGTGTCTTTCTGAAAGCTCCACTTGGTTTTGTTGGACCATGTGATTGAACAAAAACAAATTTCAGTTTCAAGGCCCTCTGAGGGAGGCCCATTTCACTGTGTGTAAAGTGGGAATTTATTTTAGATTCTGAAAACCTCAGAATCACAGAGTTTTTTGAGATACTATCCTTAGAAATAACTCTGTTCAATTAGATTAGAAAAAATGTGTCAGTGTAAAGCAGTGTAAACCAACAGTGTTTCATGTTGGCAAAAGCAGTGCAGAACTACAGGGTTTGGGTGCAGAACACATTAAGCTGACTGCAGTATCCCAGCTCTAGATGTCACTGTAGGCAGTGTTTTGAAAGGAAGTAGACTAAATGACCAGTTTCCAAAATACCTGAATGGATGAAAGTGCATTTATAAAATCTGTAATGTTGATAAAGTCATACTACTTTTTTTTTTTCCTTTTAAGCTTTCTGTGAGTGTTATTTTGAACTGCAGAATATTTGATCATCATCTGATGCACAGGAAAATTTGCACCTTATAACCCATGCGAGGATTAGGTGTCTTTTAACCACTTTTGTGCTCACTTAGCTCCTTGACTGATTTGGTAGAGCTAGACAGGAGTACTTCAGTTTGCTGTATTCTTGTGCCAGAAACTTCACCTGACTTCTCCAAATGACAAGAGGTACCAAAGCTTCTGGAGCCCTGTGCAGCCTGTGACAAACTCCCATATGCTTCAGATTCACCTCTGGTGACAGAATCAAAACATGAAAGCTTTCACAAGATGACCTGTAGTCACCTTGCTGTGTCAGAAATACCCAAATGATGGCTACCAAAAGCAGCAGCAGCATTGAAAGGGAGTTTTTTTCCAATACAGAATGTTATTGCTCAGCAGTTTGTGAACAGAATAATCTTTATGTAAGAGAACAACAAAAGGGAAAGGAGAGTAATGTTGGTCTGAAATGAGATGTTTGTCTTTTCCTGTAAAACTCTTGCTATGGTTTGAGTCTCATTTGTCGCTTGTTCATTTTTGCAATAACTGCAGTGGAATGGTTTTTATCAGTGAAACATCAAGAGGTTTTGCAATCTTCTGTTAGCCTATATTGGGATGTTTAGGTAGCATTTTCCACAGTTGCAGATCTTGTTATAAAGATACCTTTTAGTAAAACTGATACAGGAGTAATTTAATCACATCAAGAGCTTTAGTTGCTGGGATTTTCTCCTTAATTCATTCCAAATACTCCAACTTGATGCCATTATTTCCACATAGTTTGAGTGTTTCTGTGTGTTTCTGATTAGCAAATTGATTGGTGTGCAACTGGAGTTGGGGCAAGCTTGTCAGCGAAATGCAGACATCCAAAATTTTTATTGTAGGTTATCTTGGTAGGTATGAATGCTTGTTTGCAGCGTGGCCATGTAAATAGATGAAACTGCTTAAACAAAATACATGAATTCTGCCTTTTCTGCTATTAAGATTCAGTTCAATATTTCTGTGACTGGGAGTAAAAACACTTTTTCCAGGGAATAGGACTAAACCTTATGCACTGTCCTATGTGTCATATACAAATCTGAGTTGGTCTGGGTGACTTGAGACTTGATCTGTTCATAGATTTGAATGTTGATTTTTGCACTGCACAGAACTCAATTAACCATATGAATTCTGAGAGCACACTCAGTTACCACTTCTGTCTTTCATTGCCTGAACTGCCTGTAGTTCAGCGCTTCAGATCTTGCCAGTAGTTTAACACTCTTACACTTCTGCTTTTAGGCATGTCTGGGAAATGAATAAAACTAGTGGACATGTATTTATGTGTTTATAACTCTATATTCAACTACGTAAAAAAATTACCAGAATAGAAGCTGTTCTGTAAGACCATCTTCTCTTTCCAATCTTTGAATATGCAAAACAAGAAATCTGTTGCATGTTGCTTTCCTTCTACTCTTTTCACTTTGAACTTCTTTTATGCTTTCTGGGAACATTCAGTAATGACTGATACTTCTTCTGTATTTTCAAGAAGTTATTAGATCCTTGAGATCCAGTAGAAACTTCTTGGTGAGGATTTTCTTACATATTAAATTGTTTAAAAGTTATTAAGACTGCAAAATGACTAACGGGGTGGAACTGAAGTGTCCTACCTGACCATGTTTTTTCTGAGGAGCTCTTCCTCATTCAGTGCAGAAGTTAAGACACTCCAAGAATAAAGCTTTCAGTACCTTTTCTCAGTGCTTATTCAGGCAGTACACTTTTCTTCCTCTTTATGTCTAGTCCTCTGCTTCCTGTCTCAGAGTCCCTCTGTTTTGTCCAGCCCTTTTCCTAGTGTACCTTTAGCTGTTTGCTGGGTGATCAGAAGCGGTTTTGCTGAGAATTATATTTATGCTGCTTGGCCTTTCTTAGAGCTCAACATTTAATGCTTTCTGGTCAGTAGGTTTATATGTTTCAGTCATTTGCTCAGACAGTCAGAAAATGTGTGTCTTCTGATTGATGAGCTGGCTACCCATGCAGCACATTGGAATGGGTTAACCAAAAAGTAGACAGGCACTTGGAGCCTTTAAACTGCTTTGCAAAGTGTGTGCTGTGCATATTTGCCTTAGGATTTTGTGTTCACTGCAATGGAAATGAATTTTTTTTTTTTAAATTACTATGCAATTGACAAGTCATCTTCTAACTTCTGATTTGGCCACAGGATGTCTAAGCAATGCAAGAAGTTTGCCACATCAGCTGTGTTATGCTGTAGTATTTTTCTGTCTCTCCCTCAGGCCTTTCAAGTTTTCTGGGATTTTTCCTCCATGAACTATTCTCTCCAATGCTAGACCAATGTAGTACTCAATTTGTAGTTTCTCGAATTGCCTGTACTGCACAAAAGCTTTTCCACCATTTCAAACAAGAAAAACTTTGATGCAATTAAAAAATTTAAAGGAGACATAATCTTGAACACAGTACATAGGAAAAAAGCAAGGCATGTATCATTTTTTGGCACTACGTAGAAATGTTGGAGTGAGATCTTGCTGAGAGTCTATCACAATGTTATATTTGATTAGTAGTTCCCAAAGTTTTGTTCATTTTCTTGTCTTTTTGGTAAGTGCTGGGGAGCAAGTGGTTGTTACTAGAAGGGTTGGAGAAAGAATGATTTCAGCCTATGCTGCCATCAACAACTCTATCTTAAGAGAAACAAGTCAGCCACGTGCTGAGGTATCCTAACAAGTGCAGCTATATTCCCTATAAAATGTAATTAAGAAAGGACAGAAGTTTTGGATTCTGAGTTTGTATCTGTGCAAATTATAGGGGTGCTTTGGTAGTGAACATATTTGCTCACCCAGACTTGCAGCTGCTGATCTAAAACCAGTCTTGTCAGTGGCACTGAGCATCTGTGGAGGACTTACACTGCTCTATTCAGTCTTGCTGTAGTTACTTGGCCATCAGTTGTGGTTCAGCCATTCCAAGGCAAATGTCTGTGCTTTGTTCAGCCTTTTTTGTAAAGGAAACCTGTGTCCAAAACCTGGGGCTTTTTTTGATGATGGGCAAGAACTGGGTCCTCAACTTCAGCCTAGTTTCTGCCTTCTTCCTTGATCTTTTAGGTAAAAACGCTGTCCATGGGTGAAACATAAAATATCTTTTGCATTTCATGAATGGATGGGTATTACACAGTTCACTGTACAGATTGCTTGGATTCATTTGGATATACACATTGAATTTATTATGGCTAATATTGATGTAGCAAGCAAGATGATTTGAAAAAATACAATGTTGTTATTTTATTTGAATATTTACCACTTCATATCAAAACATGGCCATAGGTAGTTAAAATCAGTTTGTTGATAGTTACAGTTACTAAAATCTTTCCATATTCCTTCCCATTTCAGTGAAAATATCAACGTCACGTTTTTGGTGTTCTGGTGTGGATTTTGTAAACAGGCCATAAAGACTTTTCTTAAATGTTTTATCTAACAGAAGGGTTATAACTGGATCTAAACTGCTTTTAGCAGCAGCAAGGCAAGTAAGGAAATTTTTAATTTCCACTAAGTAGTTTAACCTTGGGCAGTCATTATGTCTGAGCAGTATGTAAAAAAGAGGCCTAAAAATATGATACGGAAGAAAGCAGACAGTTAATATCATCTGGATGACAAGAATGTTTCTTTTCACTTTACTGTAAATTAGATGTTTTTCTCCGATACAGCTATTTTTTTGAATGTTATTCAGATGTCTGGTAAGAGAATAGTACGACCGCAGAACTGTCATAAAAGACACAAAAAAACATGCAGTGGCAACAGAACCTGCAATCATTGCAGTAAATTCACTAGCTTCTACCTGGATGTTGTAGCAGCTGGGAAAGTATTCCAAAGCCTTTGCTTGGACATCATATGTTATAGCTGTTACTGTTATGCAGAGCACAGTAAGCCATATACCGATGCACAAATATTTAGCAAATTTTGGCTGACGGAACGCTTGAAGCAAACATCTGGAGAAGTTTTCGTTAACTGCTTGGGAGTACTGTGTGTCACAGTTCTTCCTCAGCGTTGCATACTGGCTCAGAGCAATTGAGCACAGGATGATAATGGTCACATACATGCAGACGTGCATGACCAGAGTCCCGAGGTGATGTGCTATCCGGCATTCCAAGGACTCGTAGCTCCAGCGCTTCCCTCCTGCAAAGTAGGCAGCCAGGAAGGGCATTGTGCTGCATACAAACAGATTTGCAGTCACGAGGTTTGCCAGGTAAATGTATTGTGTTCTCCTTGTAGGTGCTTTCCTTAAAAATATCCAGGCAGCAAGAATGTTTCCAAAGCTTCCAGCAGGGAATAGGCAGGAGTAGATGACAGGTAGAGCTACAGTGGTAGCTGATGATGGCTGAAGAAAACATGTTGAATTGTTCATTTATACCAGTATATCTTGAATGAATGATCAGAGCTGAAAAACAATTAAAAAATTATTCTTCTGTAATGTTCATTTAACATCTCTTTTATTCCTTGCTCATATCTCAGCTGTTTCTGTTTCTCCCCTTCTTTTCAGTGTTCCTAACAGCTGTTTGATGCTGTTACCATCTTGAGTTTGCATGAGGTTACAGTTTGAGTGTTATCTTCCACTGAGATTTTGTGAAGAAAACCTCTAAGATTTTATGTGCATAGAATCTAACAAAATAAATTAGGAACTGAAGGTTCGGGCTAGGGTCTGGCAATAACTTCTGCAATCTTAGTTTATTTCTCAGCCTGCCGGAACATCTGTAACCTAATTTGGAAACCATTTCAAACCATTTAAAGTTTACATAAGCAAATTAAATGCAAAGTATTACTTTGCAGAAATGCAGAGGAGCGTCCAGTACCTCCATTTAAGTACAAATTAGAGTCAGTATGATGTAGGAATCTGGCTAAATGCATTTATTTTGTGCTCAAGTCTGTATCTAATCTTGTTTTATCAAAGCTCCAATATTAGATATACATTTAGTCTATATTTGTAAACATATAAAATGGTTGTCCAAAACTGCAATATATTTATTTTTTCCAAGATCAGTTTTCAATCTTTTCTCAATTTTCAAACTGAAAATAAGAAATCAAAGCTCTATACAATGACTGTGTATAAAAACTGGTATTTCAACTTACTAACCTGTACTGGAGAGCTTATACTTTTGTATGCATACATACATTTTAGTGCAGTGTATCCTAGTTAGCTTTTGTTTCATGTAAAATCATATAGAACAAATTAAGAGATTTCAAACTTAAAGACAGATAATAATTTTTTGTAGACAGCTGTAAGCAAATGAACTCAGATGCTAAAGAGGATTCTGTGTAGGTATGATAAAAAGCTGAGATGCTGAGTTTAAAACTCTGCTGTAGGCAGTGTTTGACAACTTGCAAATTAAACTTAAATTAAAAAATTAACTTTCCTAGCTGTTGCAGTTTAGTATGCACTGAGTTCATGTCTTGTTGAACCAAAATGTTTATGACAAGTTAAATTCATGAAACAATTGCTGAATGTACTCATTTAAAAGTCTAATGATAATTTTTGTGTCAGTGACCAAATTTTGTCAGGTAAAACAAAGTAGTAGTTTGAAGCTTACCTGTGCAAGCTGCAGGCACCTTCCTTTGCTGAGAGGAAATATTTCTGTCTGATGGCTGTTCTGTCTCCACTGCTGCAATGAAAATGGTGACACTTGAATCTGGAAAGTACAGTTAAGAACAATATCTCTCTGACATAAGTAGGTTTGCAGAGTGTGCACTTTTCTTTCACAATGTCAGAAAGCAGCTGGGCATTTAAAGTTCAGACAAGATGATATTGTCTGTACAAAAAACTTAAAAATTAGGTCAGGATCAGCTCCATTAGGGAAATGACAAAAAATGAGATAGTGTGGAAGAGTGATTGTAACAGTCCTTTGGGGTCATGTAGGTAAGGCCCAGAAACATCTTGCAATCCTTATATAGTGCTTTCCTCTTTTTGGGGGCTGGAGGGGTTCTCTTTAGGACTGCCCACTTTCCAATGTGAATAAAAAAAAAAGAAGTTGCTATTTTATGTGTGAAAACTTGTCTTTTCAATGACATTTAACAGTTTTTCAGTGCCAGGAGCTACCACAAAGCTGACTATCTGTTCCTGAAGCCCACATACAATATTATTGTGTCAGTGTATGTCCAGACATGAGTGACCAAATGAGTGACAGGAGTACATCTCTCCTGTCTAGTCAGGAGATGGATTGTGGGGAAGCAATTTTCAGCTGACGCATCCTAGGCATCCGTCAGGGAAAACAGACTCATTGTCCAAAAAATACAATGTTTTATACAAATCATCCAGAAATGTACACAGGACCGTTTCCTTCCTCCACAGGATGATGGGTTTGATCACAAATCAGTCAAACTCTGTTTAGGTCTGCAAAAGTTGAGACCTGTGAATTTTCTTCTGTCTGATGCATCTGTGGTTGTATAGCTTTTCAACAGCTATAAATAAATTTCTTAAGAGAACAGAAGAGATACCAAAATTGCAGAAGTTTTTATACTGTAAGGTTCTTGTTTTGCTAGTTTTGCTTTATGTTGAAACATACACTGTAAGAATTCACCTCAGTGGTCTATTATCAATTTTATTGTTCAGTCTTATTAATTTTTTTACTAAAATGATGGACATGTATGCTGGCTTCCTATTTAGAATGCGTAGCTGAATTCATTTACAATTAAATTTACTTGCTGTAGAGTATTAGTAATTAGGTTGTAATGCTGTAATTAGTTTGCATGTACTTTAAGTCTTTGTCTTGTTAGATTTAATTATACCTTTTGGGTTTTTCTCCATGTTTGAATGTATATTAAAGTTTGCTCTAACAGAAAGGGTCTTGTATTTATTAAATGTTTAATAGTCTCTTACATAGTCTTAGAAGTCCTTGTTATTGTGATGTTCCATTGAGGTTTAGTTACAAGAACACATATGCTGAAATTTTGCTACGAGTGGTGTGAACCATTCTCATAAGCAGGGGTTTTTAATTGTTGTTATTATTGTTATTTGGTTGGTTATTGACTGTTGCCTGTGGTATTTATAAGGCTTTGACACTGTCTCTCACAACATCCTCACAGGCAAACTGAGGAGGTGTGGACTGGATGAGTGAACAGTGGTGGATTTAGAACTGGCAGAACAGCAGATGCCAGAGGTTTTTAATCAGTGGCAAAGGGTGTAGTTGGAGGCCTGTCACTCGTGGTGTCCCCCAAGGTTCAATACTGGGCCCAGGACTGTTTAACTTATCAATGACGGATGAAGTGGGAGGTGCCTCCTCAGCAAGTTTGTTGGTGACACAAAGCTGGAGGAGTGGCCGATACCCCAGAGGGCTGCACAGCCCTTCAGAAGGACCTCGGCAGGCTGGAGAGATGGGCAGAGAAGAACTCTCTGAAATTCAACAAAGGCAAGTGCAGGGCCCTGCAGCTGGAGAAGAATAACCCCAGGTACCAGGACAGGCTGAGGGCTGACCTGTTAGAAAGCAGCTCTGTGGAGAAGGACCTGGGGGTCCTGATGGACAACAAGCTGTCCAGGAGCCAGCAGAGTGTCCTGGGGAGCAAGAAGGCCAATGGGATCCTGGGCTGCACTAGGAAGAGCATTGCCAGCAGGTCAGGGAAGTGATCCTGCCCTTCTACTCAGCCCTGCTGAGGATCACCTGGAGTGCTGTGTCCAGTTCTGGGCTCCTCAGCACAAGAGAGACCTGGAGATCCTGGAGCAAGTCCAGCGGAGGGTGACAAAGATGATCAAGGGACTGGAACCCCTCACTAATGAGGAAAGGCTGAGGGATTTGGGCCTGTTTAGCCTTGAAACGTGATTGAGAGGGGAACCCATCAATGTACACAAGTATCTGAAGGGAGGTGTCAGAGGATGGAGCAAGCTCAACCCAGCAACAGGACAAGAGGCAACAAGCAGAAACTGATGCCCAGGAAGTTCCACCTGAACATGAGGAAGAAGAACTTCTTTCCTGTGCAGTGACCGAGCACTGGAACGGATTGCCCAGAGAGGTTATGGAGTCTCCCTCACTGGAATATTTCCTAATGGGAGATATTCCAGACTCATCTGGATACCATCCTGTGTCATGTGCTCTGGGATGACCCTGCTTGAGCAGGGAGGTTGGACCAGATGAAACCCACTGTGGTTCATTCCAACGTGACCCATTCTGTGAAAGATGTTTCAGTTGGCCATTTATAACCCATACCTATCATGTCACATGTTATAACCAGTTCCTGCTGTACAGCTGAGTATGGAATATGTTGGCAGCAGTTGCTCCTTGTGGGATGGAAGGAGGCAGCAGCTTAGTTACTTCTGGCCTCTGTAGCAGTCCAGGTGCCTGTACTGTAGAAGGCCCAAGATCCCACTGTATTGCATTTAATACCAAGATAAGTCTCTTAAGGTACACTGGCTACTATACAAGTCCAATCCATGTCTTCTTTCTAGAAAAATCATTTACCAAGTAGCTTGCCTAGGACTTTGACTTTTGATGCTTAGTTTTGATGGGAATGGTTTTTTTTTCCTTAAACATTCAAATTGAAAGGCATTTTTGACTGCATAAACTCTTTAAGACAGATGCACTGCACAATAACCATTTCCAGTTGGACACTTGTATCAGGAGAATTGTTGTAGAGCACCATGATTCCCCTCTGCCTGCTTGTCAGCTTTCCATGCAGGGGTGACCCAGTGTGTGCACAGCACTTTTGTTGTCATGATTTAATGAGGATTTTCTCTATAATCAGTATATGTATTTAATACTGTAAGAAGTGCTTATCAAAGCGAAATCGTCTAAGCTCATGTTTAAATCTACTCGAGCTGAGCATTGTGCTGAATCAGTGAAGATAAAAATATTGGGCAGATTTAACATAGGTCTCTGTTTGGTGTTCACTGGTGATTTATTTTCACCAGTTTTTAAAACTTCCCTTGTGGTTCAGCAAAACAAGACCTCAAATGAAAGTTCCCATGTTGTTTGCTGAATTATAAGTGTGTGCAGTGCAGCTCTGTGGTATCTTTAAGGATATAGAAATGGGGATATGTTGCACTCACAGTTTCAATTCCTTGGTTGTCGTACAATGTGCAGAGTTAAGTGTTTCACAGGGTCTGGGTAATTGTTTTACCTGGACAGGCAAAACACAAGCCAAGCAACGTCTTTTAGTATGGAAAACTTAGCTTGAGGATGACAATACTAATAAAAATAATCTTCCATCTTATACTTCAGGTCTTTTAATGTTACTGTCATTGTACATCTCCCAGAGGTCTTTACAACTATATTTGCTTATAAAAAACCACTGTCTGTGTATTGCTCATGAGGATTTTTATTGTTAACTTCAGAAATTGGTTTTTAACATGAAAACTGTGTTGATCATCAGAGACAAATAGGAAGCTTTCTCTGTTGTTCTGCACCATACTGTAATTTATGGTTTTTCAATTTAAATATGTTTTTGTGTAACAACTGTTTGGGATTTCCAATTTCTTCTTAAGCTTCTGTGAAAATACAAAAGTAATAAAGCAAAAGTAAAAATCTAAAACACTGCAGTAAAAGCAAAACTGATACTTTAAAAGGTAGCTTCTTTTGGCTGCTATCGCGGTTTAAGCTCAAACCAACCAGCACAGCTGCAAAAATCATTCCTTACTGATAAAGAACACTTCTGTACCCTCTGACAAAAATGATCCTGTCTTTTCTTCAGAGTTTTAATTTGTTGTTGACCATGTTTGTGTTTTCATCTTTACCTAGTGAGAATTTTTGTGTAAGGAATAGCAAGTATATTTTTGATTTTAACGCACAGTCACTTATATCTGTGGTTTGAGAGTTCTATGAAGAAGCTGGCCTTGCTTTATAATAGGTGCAGAGGTATACTACTTACTGTATGCAAACTTAAAGGAACCAAGACTTACCATTTACTCCTCATTTTTTCTCACTTTGAAGTACAACAGTAGAAAATTATTCATTTCTCTGCAACTGATCTTCTTATTTCTGCATCTCCCACTCTAACTGTGTAGTTAGTGTTAAGGCTTTTTCCAGCTTCATCCCTTACCCCCAGTTTTCATGGGGACAGACAAATCAATTATTTTGATAACACAACATGGAAAGATTTGATTGATTTACTTCCCTCACAAAATGGCTTAACTCTCACAATGTCTGTTGAACAACAGCTCTTCTCAGAGTTTTCCTACCAATCCACTCTATGATCAGTGAACATTGCGACAGCTTTTTTGCACTTTCTCAGCTCTCTTGGATTCCACAGAGCCCTGAGTAGTTGGAATTTTGTTTAAGGGATGGAAAAAAGGCTGGCAGAAGGTTTGCAGTGCTACAGAAGATACATTTTGGATTGGTGGAACATTATCAACCTTTCTTTTTCTCTGTACCTTTGTACAACACATCCCCCTCCTCTCTCTCCTGGTTCTGTACATGCTGTCAGAAAGCATTAAACCAAAGCTTCCATATGTGAACTTCCCAGTTCTGGGAATAATGTAATTCTTACTTGTTTATCAGTGATGTAAGCTGCACTCCTCTTTTATGGTTTCATTGACTGATATCCTGAGGGAAGTAATTCAATTAAATTTTCCTATGTTGTGCTATCAAAATAATGGATAATTGTATGCCCTCATGAAAACCACCATTTTGCAGGTTAAAACCATAATTACAGTTAATTTCAGTGTGAAAATGAAACTTGAAGTTGTGGTTTAACCCTGGTAGACAAGTAAGCCCCACACAGCCGCTTGCTCGCTCCCCCTCACTGGGATGAGAAAGAGAATCAGAAGGGTAAAGGTGTGAAAACTTGTTTGTGACTTTTGCCTCTTCCCTCCCTCATTCTTGTGGCTGCTCTGCTGCAGAAAAGACCACTCCTTCTGGTGCTCCCTCCTCTCTTCTGACACTCTATGGTCAAATCTGCCGTTATCTCAAACCCTTTGAACCCGTGTTGGGTGCCAAAGAGGGTTGTTGTGGTTTCATCCCTGTAGGCACCTAAACCCCATGCAGATGCTTGCTTGCTTTCTCTCCCCTGGGCTGAGAGGGGGAACTGGTAGCGTAAAAGTGAGAAAACTCATGGTTTGTGATAAAGAGAGTGTAGTGAGTTTAAAGACAAAGAAAAAAAAAAGAGATATAAAAAACCAAGAAAAACAAGTGATAGAAGGAAACCCCAAATGCTCACACCCGGCTGACCAATGCCCAGCGAATTCCTGAGAAATGGCAGCCCTGGCAAACTTCCTGCTTGGCTTTTGTTGCTGAGCCTGACACCAGGTGCTCTGGGATGTCCCTGTGGTCAGTAGGGCTCATCTGTCCCAGCAGTGTCCTCTCCCAGCTCCATGTGCACCCCCTGTGTCCTCTCTGGTGGGTGTTCTGAGAGGCAGAGAAGTCTTTGATGTTGTGCAAGTGCTGCTTAGCAGTAGCTAAAACATCCCTGTGTTATTAACACTGTTTTGATCACAAACCCAGACCACAGCCAGTACCAACTACTGTGAAGAAATCTATCCCAGCTAAATCTATGTCTACCCCAGCCAAAACCAGCACAGCTGTTCACTCAAACCAGGTACACTCTAACACGTTTATGATTCAAGTTATAAACTTGTGTCTGGTAAACAGTGTAGTTTCTTTGCTTATGTTTTCCATTTATTTTAAGGAATATGTGTAACACAACATAGCTATTAATGTATATGTCAAGTCCAAAAGGTAAATAAGTAGCTAGGGAGCATATATACCTTATATACATTTTCTAACTAGTATTTATGCTAATGAAGAATATGGACCCATTTTTGCATACTAAAAAAAGAGGTGACATTCTGGTACAGCAAATGAAATT